TCCATAGTACTTTCTCTGTGATGCCTTGCTTTGCACCCCCTCATCTCTGTCCTGCTGAAGTAGTCAGTCCAAATGGAGAGCAATTTCGTAGGTTCTCCTCCCCAAAGGAACACCTTACAGATCATCTCCCCAGCCTTCCCTTTCACTTGGGAGACTTGAAATCCTTCCTCCTGTCATGTACATTGCATGAGTACTGCCTATTTCCCAGGGAAAATGTGCAGGCTGGGAAGTGTCCCAGGATTGCGGATTGACCTCAGATTCTGTATCAAGCTGTGGTCATCCAGATGCTGCTGGAATACAACTCCCATTTTCCTTTACCATAAGCCATGCTGGCTGAGGCAGATGGGAGATAGAGTCCACCAGCATCTCAAAGGCCACAGCTTTCCCACACTCACTCTATGCAGTATGTTGGCACATGGACAGAGCCACTTCAGATGCTTGCTAAACAGGGTGATGGGCCCTCTAGTTTGCATATCAGTGACAGGGAGGTGGGACTATGATACGATGATGTTTATTAAATGTTTTGATCACTTTCAGAATTTTTTTATTCTGTTGTTCTAGTGATGTTTGCTGACATGGACTCTCATAAGCAATGGTGTTGTTACAACTGTGAAAGGTGAACTTGAGTAATAAGCTAAAATATTAAAAGGGCATTAAAAGGAGAGAATGGAATAGGTAATGAAGCCCCGAAATAGCACTTAGATTTGCTGTAGACTTTACCACACTGGTTCAGCCTAACATCTATTTTGATAAATACACTTCCTTCCTTTGAGGTTTTTATGAATGCATTTTTAAAAGTTTGGCTTAATGGTTATGTTTAATTTTTGCAGTTCTGTTTTTCAAAGTATGCCATTGCTTATTAGGAAGCAACCCTTTGCACAAAAAGCTACAGTAAAGCCAACCAAAGTTAAACCGGAATGAAGTTTAACCAGATCCGAGCCTCATTTTAGAAGCAGAGCTGCTGCTCTACTTAAGCCTGCCAAATGGAAAACAACTCTTGAAAGGTGTGTTTATGCCAGATTGCCAGGTCACATGATCTAGATTAATGGGTTTAGAATCCAGCGTAAACTCTCCCTTCTTGGTCTTGCCCATGTCATGCCACAGGGATTTCTTTGGGGAAGTTACATCGGCCTTGTCTCGGCTTGTTTTGGCTCAGCAGGCTGAGCCCTGGTTGAACTGGGTTGAGCAAGTTACACCTTTGACTGAGCCAGGGTTGGGGACTTAATGCTGGCTGAACCCAGATGAGTCAGGAATCAGCTGGCTTAACCAAAGAGCCATTGCATCCCAAACTCCCGATCTCAGCAGATCTTGCCATAGTGCTTTGACCAAAAGGAAGAATCCACCCACTAGCTATTCAAGTTACCTGGGGACCCTGTCATATAAAGAGCCTAGTCCCCCCACAAAAAGTTCTTTTCTTTTCCTTATACTGGATTTCCATAAAGAAGAGCAACTGCAATGAACAGACAAGTTTGAAAAAGAAATGAAACACAACACTGGAATAATAATTCAATATGAGTTAGTTTTGAGGAGTTTCTCTCAGATTAATTCAGAAATTGTCACAGTTCTTTGGGGCACAGAAATAATCTTCCTAGGACTGTCTAAAGGCTCACTGAAATTACCACTTCCACATCTTCAAGGAAGCTGGAGCCCCTTTCCATGGGGATACAAATAGAATGGCTGAATACTTCACAGCTGAGATAGAATGTAATAAGATGAAACCTGCAGCCAGACAGCAGGAAGGACCAGGTCACTTGCCTTACAAAACTGTTGCTCTTTCCACTTTAATATCAGAAACTGCTAGAGCAGGGATCAAGGTCCTGTGGCATTAATCTGGCCCACAAGGTCTCACCATGCAACCCAGGCACTCTCCCTTCTTTATAGGCCAGTGGTGTCCAAATTTTTTTCAAAGTGGGCCAGATTTGATGAAGTGATCATGTGTGAGGGCCAGCCAAAGTTGTTCAGCTTTTTCAAAAAAAATTGCCCCAAAATTGTTACCTCATAAATTGTTGGATTTAACTTACATTTACACTTAGGTGTTGAAGAGACAGAAGAGAACAGTGACTGTGGTCAAACTTCAAAGAAAGAAGCTCTCCATTAGTATTAGCATCTCCTTACCTGGGCTCCTTCAACTTTTGAGACTCTACAGCATCATTTGTCATGGAGACTACAACATGCAGCAGCAGCAGCAACAACAGAGCTGAGGCCTGATTTGATGAAGTGAACATGCGCGAGGCCCGACCATTTTGCCTGACATTCTTAGAATCATTAAAATTAAATTACACTGCCTTTCATATCTGAAGGCCAGATGAAAAATAAATCCAGAAAGCTGAAATATATGTAAGGAATATAGTAAAGTACATTACACAGTAATAAAGGTTGTCTGTCAACTTTTAAGTTCACAACATATTAACAGGAACATAACACCAGGTATACTTGTGTCCAAACATATTTATACCTGATTTAGACCAACTGATATTAACTGAGATTTTACAGTGTATTCATCTCAATTGAAAAAAAAAAAAAAAACATGCCTGAACTAATGTGAAGTGTGAAACTGAGATCTTCTGGACTGCAGCTGAGGGATCCCTGCCCCCTTCTGCTTGCACGTAAGTAGGAATGGGATTGGGGCTGCTCCAATGAAAAGGGAGGCACTGTGCTGCCCAAGCCTCACCGCTGCCGCTCTCGGCCCTCCTCCGCCTTCCATGCCTGACCCACCGCGCACCCCTTCACCACCACCACCGAAGAACCAACAACTCAGGGGCTCATGGAGAAAGGAGACAGAAGCCTCTGAGGAAGAGGAAATGTGGTGGTTGAGGGCAGGTCATCGGCCTGGGCAGGCCGGGTCTTCCTGCTGGGATCGACAAGGCATATGACCCTCACCTGAATCTCATTTAACTCTTTGGGGGGGGGGAATTGGCATCAGACGTCATGTGCATGGAAGTTGCCAAATCAATTAACCAACTAGGGTTTATACGATTCTTTGCAAATGACGGAAAACAACTTTTCTCCTTGTATATGTTGATAATATGATTTTGGTTACTGAGAACAAACAAGAGTGTACAGAAACAAGATTGGGTGCAGGCCTGGCCAGGACATAGGCGTGACACACCTGTGACAAAGGTGACCTGTGTGCTTGCTTGCTTGATTAACAGCTGTTGGGAACTTGAAGGTCCCTTAGAAGGTCCCTGCTCTCCCTTCTAATGGTCTTTATATTGGACCAGGAGAGTCCAACAGAGAGCATTCCATGTCAAGAAGGAGGGCAAGTGGGCACCCTATCAAATGACAGGGCAGGAGCTACTCGGAACAGGGCCTTTTCACTGGTGGTGCCCATTGTATGCCTCACTATTCCCAGACCTGCTCTCTTTTGGCCTGTATTTTGGAGCTTTATAATTTAGGAAGACTTTGGAATAACAGGTTGACAAGTCTTATCAGTTGCTGACGTATGAGCAGATTTTATTTGCTGTTATTCTGGGTTCCTGGTGCACCAGGGTTTACACCAGTGTAATAGAGTTGGCCAGTATGAAAGAAGAGATACAATTTATGAGCTTTCTCCATTGTCTGCACAGCAGGGGGTGTTCTGTCAACAGTGCAAAGGCTGAGCTGAAGCGTTTCCTGCTGGTTACCTGCTTTCAGCAATAGGGGTCACTGTTTGGTAGTACCCAGTTGGTTAGCTGTCAGATTCTAGAGCTCCCTATTGGTGGCTCTTGGGTAAATACAGAGTCCGTTAATAAAACACGGTGTTCATTCATAAAACAGTAACATAAATCTCCATTGCTACATATTGGGTGTGTATTTCAGCGGTTGAACATCTCCAGGCTTCAGCGAAAGCCTGCATTCACCCCATAGGACGCACACACATTTCCCCTTCATTTTTGCAGGGGGGGAAATGCGTCCTATAGGGTGAAAAATACGGTATATCTATAAGATTTTGTGGAGTTTGGCTGTGAACTGGGGCCCTACAAAAAAAAATTCAAGTTGTGCCCCACTGCTTCAAATTGGGCCCCACTGACTAGCCCTGCGTTTCATAGTTGCTGGGCCTGAGTTGCCCTGCCCTCGCATGAAGTCTTGGGTTTGCAATTTTGGGAGAAGGGAGACTGCCTGCTGGGGAGCTGGTGGGCTGACGAGCCGCCCTAGATTTAGAGGCCCTAGGCTTCAGCCTACTTAGTCTATACATAAAATCCAGCACTGGGTCAAGGCAGCAGCCGCCCCTCTGCCACCGCCATCGCTGCAGCATCAATGTCCCAAAAGTGTACTGTAGTATTTATTTAGCCATGCCCGCCTCAGCCAACCAGATTGGTTGACCCGAGGAGTGATGCAACCGGGGACTCCCTAATTGAGCAGGGGCTAGCAATGCCCCCCGCCCGCACAGAGGGGAGAACGCGTGACGAGCCCTCAAAAAGGAAATGGCTTTAGTGGGCAGGTGCTCGGGGGCTGCAAAAGATTGCTTTTTCAAAATCCATGTGTGTGTGTGTTTGAAATCAGTCCGGGGACCACAAGTGGCCCTCGGGCTGGACTTTGGACATGCCTATTATAGGGGTTGGTTTGTGTGCATGGGTGTGTACATGCGTTAGCTCCATTTCGGGCATGGGCTGCTGGTGTGCAGCCCCATCCACTTTATCCTAAGGGAATACTGTCCTGGGCGGAGGGGGGAGAAATTGTCTATTTCTTTCCCTAGAATGATTTTTTCACAGCATTTCATGTCTAAATCTTCTCTCTATCATGTGAAATAATCTACTCATTCTCAGAGGGGTTTCTGGTGGGGAGTTAATAGGATAATGGATGAAAAGCTGCCTTTCTGACCATCAAATAATATATTTAAGTGAATGTGCCTGAGGGTCACAGATATGTTGAATAGTTCACCAGAAGGAAAGGTGTAAAATTATACATCCTTGAGTCGTAGCTGCAGCCACATGTGGGGCTGTTCCCCAGGGGTGGGGATAGAAACATGCATGCTGCAAAAGTCTTGATGATTTCCGTCTTGTCTGTGAGAGAAGTAGAAGGAGCTGTGCGCCAGAAGTGGGGAAGAACGGACAAACATCAGATTGGCAAGCCAACTCCTGCTCTGCCCTGATGAATATCTTCTGGGTTCTCTGTAAGTTAGGGAAACTGGGAAGGGAAACTCCATAATTCCCATCAGAGTTTTCCTAGGAGTGTGTGTGTGGTTGTCAAAATTAATGGAGTTAGCTGAGATGAAAAAATTGGCATGTTTTATCAGAGAAAAGTCATTATTAACATTTACTAAAGATTGGAAACCTCCCACAGACTTTTTGTGAGGAAAAGAAAATGAAATAACGACATTTGGATTTGAGGATTGAAGAAAATGGTTTATAGAAGGTGGAATTATTAGATGTTACACTGGAGTGGATGTAGTGAGTGATGTTTATACGTAGCGGTCAGATGAAGAATCAGAAGTTCTTTAGCTTCCCAACTTTTCTCTCTTTTTCTCTTTTAATTCATTTATCATTTCCTTTTCTTTATCTCTTTCTCGTTGTTCCTTTATTTCCCCCCTCTGGATTAATGTTTTTGTTTGTATTTTAGAAATAGATACAGTGGTACCTCAGGTTAAGTACTTAATTCATTCTGGAGGCCCATACTTAACCTGAAACTGTTCTTAACCTGAAGCACCACTTTAGATAATGGGACCTCCTGCTGCCGTCACGGCGCCAGAGCACGATTTCTGTTCTCACCCTGAAGCAAAGTTTTCAACCTGAAGCACTATTTCTGGGTTAGCGGAGTCTGTAACCTGAAGTGTATGTAACCTGAAGCATATGTAACCTGAGGTACCACTGTATTGGACAATAATCTTTGTTATTCTCTTTATAAACTCTAAGAAAATATATTTTTAAAAAATAGTTAATAGACAAATAGCAGGATTCTAGAAAAGGCCCATAAGTAATGAGAGTTATGTACAAATGGCCTCTTATACTTCTCCATACTACTAGTGGACAGAGAAACTAGTGAGAAAATTCCATGTAATTACTTGAAGTGGAGGAGAAATTCCCCAACATTCCAGAAGTAGCACAGCTTTTCATTTTCCATCTCCTTTTCTCTGATTCTGTGCATTAACGGCATTGGGAAATGAGTTGGCAGGCAGGCTCCCATTCTGTATCCTTCCACATTGCCTGAAACCAATGTCTTTCTAAGGCTATCTGGCGGGTGGGAACAGAAACAGCATAGAAAAGTGTTGAAAATACTAGAAGCAAATGCTTCAAGATGGCCTTTTACTATAACAGTGAGAAAAGGAAAACTCATAGAAAAAATATTTTTTGAAATGTTCTCAGAAAAATATCTTGTAGGAATTTTTTGCTTGACTCTAAAAATAAAAATGGGGAGAGGCAACTCTAATAGAGACAGCAGTATGCACTCATACTTAGGGTTGCCATACGTCCTGGAAATTCCAGAGCATGTGCCTCAACAACTTTGTCTGGGTTTTTAGTTTTGGGAATGTGGCAAGCTGTATGACGATAGGTTTTGTGAAGTTTCCATTATGGATCATAAGTACTACGCAGAAGAAGATGGCATAAAGCATACCTGGACAAGTTAAGCTGGGTTGAAGCCAGATCCAACCCATTTTCAACAGAAGGGCTGCTGCTCTAAGTGAGGCAGAGGAAAAACAAGTCTAAAAAATACTGTTATGTTTGAGGTTGCCAGGACTCGAGACTGATTTGAATGAGCTCAGGTTCCAGTCTAAGTCACCTGCTCCTTGCCACGTCCCTGCAACAGCCTTCTGGAGGACTTACAGTGTCCTCAGTTTAACTAGCTAAGCTATGATGAGCATATCTTTGTCTGAGCTGCATGGTGAGCCCAGCAGAGGGAGAGAGCTGTTGCATCCTGAGGACTGCAGAAAAGCCAAGCTGTTTCCAACAGACATTTTTAAAAATAAACCAAAATTAGGCCTTCCTCTTTAACTTGTGGAGGACATTTCATGAAAACATCTAACTACTTCTTCTTCTTCTTCTTCTTCTTCTTCTTCTTCTTCTTCTTCTAGTACTATCTGCAAGAAAATAAAGGATTTCAGTTGAAGAATGACTGGGTTATACAACATAATGTAAATGTAGAAATTAAAGAAGTGTTGGTAGAAGGAACAGTGTGAAACACATGGGAAAGGGCAATTTTATTGGTTTCTCCTCAGCTCTGCATTCGCACATGCTTGTTTAATCTTTTTCAACCCCACGCACCCTTTGGCACTCAGAAAAAAAACTGCAGCAGAATAGGAGGTGCTCTGACATAGAGGAAACTTGGCAATTATATGCCATTACATTGACTCTCATTTATATGTGTATTATTTTCATAATTGGAAACTACCAGGGTTTGCTAGAATACACTAAAGCCACTCCAAAGAGGCTGCAGCCAAAATAGCAGGTCTGGAAAATTATTAAAATACTGCTCTGCCCTTGTGTTTACTTGTTAAAATATATTATAAACATATCGCATGGATGTTATTGCAGGTGCTCTCCTTGCAAATCACTGGTGTTTGGGTGATGACAAAGATTCAGAGCTTTGCACTTCTACAGGTGAGTTTGAGACTGTGCAAGACTGTGTGCACTAGTGTGTGCCGGATTGCAGGGAATGGTGTGTGTTTCTTCCTCTACTCGAACCACATGTCTAATGCTAAATGTTCATTATCAAAGAAGGTCAGGGATGTTTCATTTCATCATCAAGCTTATAGAAAATATGAGATGTAGAGGCTGCCACCAATCTCAGCTCACCAATCCCTCCAGCCCTCCATCCCCTCCACCTGGCTAACCCCTCCTCCATTTACCCCTCACTCACCCCCTTTGCCTATCCCCTCATATCTTGCCCAAACCTCCTCTTTAAGCTTTGCTGAACCCTCCTTCCCTCACATTCTGACCACTTACTAAAGCTACTGTGACCTTCTTTACATCCTGCACTGACTGCTTTTAAATGAGGCCAGCAGGGGCTTTAGAGAGCAAAACCACTCTCTGAAGGGCCTCCCATCGTCATTTAAGCAGCTCATGTGGGCTGGAGCTAGAGAGTTGCTGTATCCTAAAATACTCATCAGTGTTTCCGTCTGCTGCTCTGGTTCGCCAGAAGCGGCTTAGTCATGCTGGCCACATGATCCGGAAGCTGTATGCCGGCTCCCTCGGCCAATAAAGGGAGATGAGCGCCGCAACCGCAGAGTCAGCCACGACTGGACCTAATAGTCAGGGGTCCCTCTACCTTTACCTTTAAAATACTCAGCCTTTTGGAAATGTGACATAGGATTGCCTCATAAGATCTTGTTGCTTACCCATAGCTGTCAACCTTCCCTTTTTTTGTGGGAAATTCCCTTATTCCAGCGCTATTTCCCACTGCTTCCTGCCGCTATCCCGGATTGTTAGATATCCCGTAGACTATCCCCAGGACAGGTGAGGCTGCTGATCCCTTATTTTCGAGGCTGCTGATTCCTTGTTTTCAAATCTGAAAGTTGACCACTATGTGCTTACCTAACTATTAATCTTCTATACCTTTTAGAAGATTGAGAGTTTACAATCCCAAATTTCTAAATAAAAATTGAGGTGGTATTAAAATGCTTTAAATAAATAAAACAAAGTAGAACACTTGCATGCCACTTACCCCAAAAAGAAAAAATTAAAAGCAGTATACAACAAATAATTATGAAAAAGCTGTGCTAAAACATTTAGTCGTTTAGTCGTGTCCAACTCTTCATGACCCCATGGACCAGAGCACGTCAGGCACTCCTGTCTTCTACTGACTCCTGCAGTTTGGTCAAACTCATGCTGATAGCTTCAAGAACACTATCCAACCATCTCGTCCTCTGTCGTCCCCTTCTCCTTGGGCCCTCAATCTTTCCCAACATCAGGGTCTTTTCCAGGGAGTCTTCTCTTCTCATGAGGTGGCCAAAGTATTGGAGCCTCAGCTTCAGGATCTGTCCTTCCAGTGAGCACTCAGGGCTGATTTCCTTCAGAATGAATAGGTTTGATCTTCTTGCAGTCCATGGGACTCTCAAGAGTCTCCTCCAGCACCATAATTCAAAAGCATCAATTCTTCGGCGATCAGCCTTCTTTATGGTCCAGCTCTCACTTCCATACATCACTACTGGGAAAGCCATAGCTTTTACTATACGGACCTTTGTTGGCAAGGTGATGTCTCTGCTTTTTAAGACAAAAATAATGGTGATAAAGCAATCTAATTCCACATGATTGCTGAAATGTTCACCCTCCATTGCAACTGCATTTTCACTAATTCTCTGCATTCATTTATGTTCTTTCTTTATTTCTTCCCTTCGTTTGTTCATTCTCTAGGTGAACTTCCTGCTCCTGATTTATTCTTGAACAAAACTTTGGTTCCTGAAGGGGAAACTATCACAGCACTATGTGCGGCTCCAGCAGAGGTTTTTCTGACTGGATTTTTTTTCCTGTAAAGATGGGGCTCCTGTTTCATCCAAGAAAGCAGCATCTCAATATGTTCAATACATAGTCTATGCATCACCGAAGAATGCTGGCCAATATTCCTGTGGTTACCAGCAGAAGGATGCAAAGAACCAAGTGAAGATATCTGCCCTCAGTGTTGCTCAGAATCTGATTGTCCAGCCACGTAAGATTGCATGGGATAGTCCCATTTAGAGTTCCAACCAGCCAGTCATGCCATATTTCAGCACTGTCCATTTAATTCCCCACCCATTTGGTTTCTATTCCCTTATGACAAGAGTTAATCACAGCCACAGAGCATATTCAGACTTCCCTGGAGCACATTCATATATTTATTTAAATGAAAATAGGTGCTGTTTTGCACCTAATGCAACAGATGTTGGAGGATCTGGCCAATAGCATGGAGATGACAACACTTCTCCAGGAACAGTGTTTAATAGCGTATTAAAAATAGGTATTGCTTTTAGGCAGCTTATCAAAAAAATTCATTATTTATGTGTCTAGCCTCTAGGAATGGGGCTTAGGTCAACCTAAGTCCATCCTGTTTCATTTCTTATGGCACATCATGTTTTTCTAAAGGTTACAAGTGTTCTTCCATCCAGCTCATTAATACTTTGAGTAGGGCCAATGAAATGAATGGTTCTTTGTCATAACCATTGATTTTTAGTTCAAATTAAACCGATTGTAATAATGCACACAG